GTATAGTATAGTATAGTAAAGTGTAGTATACTTTAATAGAGTATAGTATAGGTCACTCGCTTTCTTACAAGGAAAGCGAGTGATCTTGTTCTAAATAAAATAAATTTGTTTTTAAGTCATAGTAATATTTACGTTCTAACTCAGAACTCAGTATCAATCCTCTTTATCAGCGAGTACCCAATATGAAATACTTGGTTTGCGAAGAACTGCTATTGGGACACACCTAGTTCCACGCACATTTTTTCTTCATTGTGCAGTTGTAAATAAATAAAGTTTACACAATAAAATTCATCTTTTCTAGGATTCTGTTAGGATGCTTGGTTGTTGGCTGTGAGCTTTGTCCATCAGCACAATGACGCCTTCACAGTTCTGCTTCTAGAGCTTCGTCAAAAAAGGAAAAATGCTGCTAAATCTTCTTCATTTTTATTTAAGTTTTACAAACATCCAAACATGAACTTACTGGTAGTCGGAAAAAAGTATAAACCTGTTCCAGTTGTAATCAGCATTCCTTCTACTAAAACTTTTGCAGTCTGACAACAAAAATAAAAGAAGGACTCTTGCAAAAACACATATTTGCGTGTGTTTTATTTACAGCTGCTGTCATCCTGTGTGGTTTCTGTCAAGATGATGCCATTCTGCAGTCAGAGGTTAAGGAAATGTTAGCCTCTGTTTTTTTTTTTTTTTTTCCCTCTGGCACTGTCTCTCCCCAGGCTGTCAGAAATAACACAAACATTCAGGCTCATCGCAGCATGACTGACTGAAAATGTGAACCCYACCCACTTCTGTGTACAGACTCCCAATCAAACTGCCCTGTCTTTTCTTTCCTCCACTTTTTTATTAAGTTTGTTTTAGACTTCACTTTCCCAAATTTCATCTGTAAAACTCACTACGGTGCACGCATCTTTTAAAATAATTTCTCTTTGTTTTGAATGAATTTATTATCCTGCTTATCTCTGCCTTCCACCCCCTTTAACAGCATCATACTACAATGGAAAGTATCATGAAAACTCAGTCTTTTTCTGTAAAATGATATGCAGGCAGGGCAAATGACAAGTTTAGAATTATTTATTTGTTTTGAGTGTATTTAAATAAACCATCCCGTTTGACAAATGACAAGTTATAAAAATTGAGCATTCTGAACTAGTGAGGATCAAGAACATTCCTTGACAGTTTCAAATGAATAGTTCAGATCTTTGAAGCTAAGGTTCTGTGATAAAGTAAACAATTATTAACTTACTTATTTTAAATAACTCTTCGAATGATTTCAGTTTGGGGGAATCATTCAGACTGAATAAATAAAACAACCTAACAGCTAGTTTAAGGGTGTATTCACACCTGACACATTGGACCAGAGTTTGTGTCTCCGGTCAGTTGTATTAACAGGATCATCTTTATTTCTGGATCTGTGCTCTGTCCTGTCCACGTCATTTCTGTCCAACGGGAGCAATGACCATCACCTGWGCGGCTTTGTTTATAAATTGTAGTACACTTGCCAAAAGCACATGAATGCAAACCACGCCAGAGGAAAAAAATAAAGTCTGCTATTTTGTCCGGACCAAACAAGTGGACCAAAGGACTTTCCTGATATGATACACTGTAGGAAAAACCTACGATGTTCAAAACGGTATGTCCGAATAAACAGGAATCCACTGGATTCTTCTTAAAACGTTATTCTCAGTCTTCTGACTCCAGTCGGGTTCACAGTACAGCACTCAGCACAGGCCTCACCATAAGACCTTGAGCTGAACCCAAACAAAAGACAGCTGCCCTGCTCTGAGCAGAGACTCTGCAAAACACTGACAACTTCTTTTTACTATAATAATGAATTGACCTTATGATGTACATCTCTTCCTGGTTACACCCCTGCAGGTGTTACCCTTTACGTCTGATGTCAGAATGTAACTTATTTTTGTTTAAAAAGGATAAAAATTTTATAGGTCCTCTGGACGGGTTCTTCTTTAATGAAACGTTTCGTCTCTCTTCCAAGAGACTTCTCTGAAGAAGTCTCTTGGAAGAGAGACGAAACGTTTCATTAAAGAAGAACCCGTCCAGAGGACCTATACAGTTTTTTTCCTTTTGATTTTTTACCTGGATTACTGAGATGCATCAGGTCATTTTTGTTTAGGCTAAAGAAAGAACACATGATAAGACACACACGACTCTTTGTCTGCTTTAACCTTAAAGGCTGAAATGATCAGAAAGTATAAAATACAAAACTGCATCTAATATTCAATTAATCAGTTACAAAATTTCCTTCAACACCCTATGTAGGGCCAAGACAAGACTCACCCCCAATTTACACTACATGCGTCTCCGCTCCACTGCGCTCCGGTCCGACCTCCGCAGCAAACACGCAACCATTCTAATCAATGAGAGTGTTTACACTGGCTCTGCATGGTGGTGCAGGGCGGCGGTGAGTGGACGGCGGTCCGCCAAAATTAGATCCGATCCTATTTTTGCCAGATGCTGGAGCTGCTCCAGAGTCAATTTACAAAGATTACGTTGTACCAAYCGGCAAAGGAACAGACACAACATCCGTATTTTCAAAATAAGACACCATAAGGGGGAATAATTTTTGTGGAAATCCCAGCTATATTAATAAATATATGGATATATTTCTACACAACTGTTGTCAGAATGTATGTTTGTGTTTGGGAAGCAGATGGCAACATGTAGCATGAAGCATATGTGTGCACACACGATACACGTGGATTTTATTTTGAAATCAGAAGTTTCAAAAAGACGACAGCGATACAGTTTCAACCATAAATATCAAAACCCTTTTATATCAATGTTTTCAGCTGTTTGGAGTTCGTCTTTCACAGAATTAATTATTTTTTGCTCTGACTTCCACGTTTATCACTGGATTTATCGCACGATCTCCTCCCTGCACACGCTCCCTCCTCTGTGTGTCGCACCGGAGCAGAGCTGAGCGGAGCGGATGCTGTATAAATTGGTTTGCAAATGAACAGCTGCACACYGCAGCGCAGCGCAGCGCAGCGCACCGGAGTCGCATGTAGTGTAAATATAAGGTCACAGCTCCAGTCCCAACATGATTGATGTGTTGCAGTTAGTGAGCTGCTGCTAACTGCTTCTGCTACTAATACTTGCAAAAAATACATGAAATTTTATTTATGTTGCAATGTAATGTGAAACTGACAGGGATGTAATGTTAGTTAAATCACATTTGATTAAATTACGGTCAGATATTAGAAATTAGAGTTGTATTGCAATGGAAATAATGTGTTTTGTTCTTAGCTCCACTTGAACTAGTCATTACCTCCTCAATCCAGTCAGACACAAAGATTATTTCTTCAAACTGAGGTTGTCCAAAAAACTATCTAAAACAGGTAAGATATTAATTATTCTTAGTCTGCTCTATAGAACCCCAATTAAAAAAATCTGAACTTGAAATACAATGAATTTATTTAAATATTACTGTTATTACTACTACTACTACTACTACTACTACTACTACTACTACTACTACTACTACTACTACAATAATAATAATAATAATAATAATAATAATAATAATAATAGGGCGGTACAGTGGCTCAGTTGGTAGAGCTGATGCCTCTCAGCAAGAACGTTATTCGATCGACTTTTTTAGGTGGAGTTTGAATGTTCTCTCTGTTCATGCGTGGGTTTTCTCCACAGATCAAAGACATGACTGGCTAATTAATAACTCTAAATTGTCCCTAGGTGTGAGTGAGAGTGTGAATAGTTGTATGTCTCATTTGTGTCCCTGTGATGGACTTGCGACTTGTCCTGCCCTTCACAATATGGGGACCCTGAAAGGAAGAAGCAAGTATAGATAATGGATAATGATAAATTATTTAATGAATTAAAGATTATTAATGAAGTTCAATTGAATTAACGTATTGAGTTTATTTCTTGCTGGCTTTTCTGATTTATTTAATATTTTGCTAGCTTTTAATTGATTTCCTCTCAGTAAATTGGATGAGAAAAAAATCAAGATGAATCATATATTTCTTGAAAATTAAATTAATTCAATCTACTGTATAAATAATTCATCAAATGTGTGAATGACATTGTCAAAACATCCATGTATAATTATTACAACTGTGTTATACTTTACAATATTAATATTCTGATTTTTAATACTCTAATGATTAATAGTAGTAGCCTCCAAAAGGCATTTCTTATTTTTATTTGCATAAATATAATAAGGATTAATGCAAACACTTTTACTTCTTCAAAAAACATTGATTACCTTATGATAAGAAAATTCAAAGTAAATTTGAAGATTTTCACATTTAAGCACCACATTATAATTCTACATGTAAAAGAACGTGTTTAAGTAGCAAGCTTTTTTTATCCTTCACCTTTTCATGTGTGAGAGGAAAGAGAGATCAAGGATGTCATCTGTGTTTAGGAGAGGAAGTGGAGCTCAGATCAGGGAGATTTGAAACCTGGTTATTGCCTGTGGGCACGAGGAKCTTGTTTAATAAACGGGTCTAGAGGCCAGAGGGACATGTCAGAGAAATGTTATTACCTGAGTTTTATTAATAGGCTCAGCTAGAGGGGCGGTGTGTGTGTATGTGTTGGTGATCTAATCTGGCTGCACACGAGATGAATTGCGCCTCAACACCTTGTTTTTTATTCAGCGATATTTCTGCATTTATTTTCCTGGAAAAGATGTCTCATTTWTGATTAGCACTTTTGTTTTCATTAAAATAGAAACACTGTCTCAGTTGTAATGAAAGTTACAGCAAATCATTTAGCAACATTTTAAAAGAAAAAAACGTGTTTATAGTTAGTACATTTAAAATATAAACAACATAATGTTACTAATCTTGACAATTTCCCCCTTTAAATCTGCAGGACTATTGTTCCCCAGAGGTCCTGTTCCCTCCAGTAAACATGTCTTGGGCTCTGCTCGGAGGACCGTTCATTCCGCTGGCCAACTCCAGAATTTTCGCTTGGTCCTCCAACATGAGCTCCTTTTCGTCGTGGCCTCCTCTGTCTGCTCTGCTGCTGTTATCATCACTGCAAGGCCAGTCGTGTGTGGAGGCATGCCAGACTGAAGGGCTAATCTGTGAACCTGCCTTGTATCGTTTCATCAACATTAAGGAAGCCTTCAGCGCGTAAGATGCTTCGATTTTTCATTCCTTTCAGCTTCTAAATAGGAAATAATAATAATAATAATACTTTTAGCTTCATCTTGAAGCCGGCTGACTAGGAAAAAGGAAACGTGATGTATACATGTCCAATGCTCAGTTTGCCCCATCAGTTTGAAATTTAATGTTCTGTTGGACTCATTTTAAAAAARCATGTCACTGAACCCGTCCTGTAAACAATATATTTCACTTCTTCCATGCAGTTTCATGGCTCATTTGCACTTCTAGCTTCAAAATTACTCACCAGTTTAACATAGAACCTCCTAGCTCTGACTTTCCATCTGAGAGGTTTTAAAAGCAACATCGTTGCTGGGGGGGGAATTAAACAAAATCTAATTTTTTGAGCTTTATATCCTGTTATAATGTCATTTCCTTGTCAAAAACATAGCCACAGTGTTGCTTTGACTCATTCATGCATGTTTGAGAAATCCTTGTATCTCCTGTGGTAGCCATGTGGAGCTACCTAAACGCTTGCTGGTACAAAGCGCTGCCTCTCAATCTGTTTATGGTGAGTGGGGATGGATAAAGAACCCACATGAGTGGGGGCCTCATAAGTGGGCCCATTGCTCTCCCCAAAAAGACCAAAACGATCTTTATTTAAATCTTTGTGTCCCTCGGATGAAGGGCGTGAGGTTAGAAACATTCAGTGCTCTGAGCTTCTCAGGATGGTAAATGGACTGAACTTATAGAGCACTTTATCAAGTCCCTCCAGACCCCAAAGCGCTTTACACTTACAGACATTCACCCATGCACACACATTCACACACTAGCCACAGCTGCCCTGGGGCACACTAACAGAAATGAGGCTGCCATGCACCGGCACCACCGACCCTCTGACCACCATCAGTAGGCAAGGCGGGTTAAGTGTCTTGCCCAAGGACACAACGACTAGGACAGCTGGAATGGGGAATTGAACCGACAACCTTCCGGTTACAGGACAACTCCCCTAACCAATCCACCACAGCTGCCCAGGATCCATAAAAGGGTCCCCAAGAATTATTTTCCTTTGACTTCTTAGAACAAGGCAGTGGCCTAAAGGCTCCTGCATACTCCCTTCGAACTGCTGAAATGGGTTCAGATTGTCACAGTTTCATGACGAAAATTGCATCATTCTGTTCGCATTGTCGACATTTCGACAACTTCTTGACACAAACCGTGGGTCGAACTTTTTACCCCCCTCCACATAAGAACTCATAAGAACTTTATTGTATGATTGGTCAGAAGTTTGTGGGAGTGTTTGTTCTTGCTGAAAGCGCTCAGGCGCTGCATTTTGCTTCAACCACTCGTTTCAAAAAAAAAGTGATTCACTGGAAGCAGCGATTTATAAAGATAGCCAAACAGCCAAAAACTCATGAAAGAAGATTAAACAGGCCTTTTTCACAGTGGAATCTAACTTATAAAAACTTTGGAGCTTTAACCGGGACAGATTTGTGGAAAAATAACATCGGGTGACAGGTCTCAGACTTTTCTTYTCCTCATCGTAGACTCCAGCGGGAGGAACCTCCCTATAGTGACGTATGCTGCAGCAGGAAGGGTTTCCCAGGAGCTTGGCAGAGGGTGTCTCAGAGACTATGAAGGTGTGTGTGAAAACGAACACCAAAAAACCACGATTTTGCATCGACTGTTCGGCTTCGGAGGGAGTATGCAGGAACCTTACGTAGTGCAAATAGGTCTCTAATTCAATTCCACAGGCATCACACAGACCATTGTCATGGAGTCCCATCACCATTTTGTGGCGGATGAGCAGATTGTGTCCAGTTAGGACTCCAACCAGTGTACTTAAAGTTTTTCTTGTCAGGGCAATAAGAATTTTATCAAACCTAAGATTTGGGCCGTTTAACAGTTCCCTTGCCTGTTTACAGTCCATCAGCTCCCTCCAGTGAACTGAGTGTTGATGTCTAATCCAAGCCTTTAGGGCAGTCCTACAGACTGAAGATGACCAAATTATACCATTCTGTCTCCAGGTCCTGCAATTCCTGGAACAGCAGCAACTGCCCAGTCCCAGATTCTAGTGTGCTGTGAGACAGATTTTCCACCTATCAGACTGGCATAACCTGACTGTGTTGGATGTGGCCTCCCCTAAGATATGTAAATCTAGAGGAGACAGGTCCAGTAGGACTTCAGTGTCTACTGTGGGTGTTGTTTTGATAGAATCTGTGATGCGCAGGCAGGCTATTTGTTGCACATGGGTGAGCATCACTCTTGCCACCGCAACTTGGATTCAAACCCACCATACTAAAGCAGCATAGCATAGCATAGGGCGGACTATGGCTGTGTAGATCCATCTGATAACCTTTGGATTAGCACCCCAAGACCAACTGAAATTCTACAGCAGTGTTGTAGGCACATTGCTGCTTTTACACTTTTCATTTCCATGTTTTTTTCCAGTTAAGCTTCCTGTCYAGATAGACACCCAATAACTTAACTGACTCTGACAGGGAGAGTTCTACACCTTCCAACTTTGGAGGTGAGTAACCCTTCATGACTTTTATGAGTGAAAATGTTCCTGGATAAAGGTTTTGCCTGTATGCATCCTGCTAAGGCAGGTACACAACAATGTATTGGCATTTTACAGTGATGCAAGTTACTCTGTATAAATTCCATCATCCCTAAAACCACAGAGTTTAGGACCCATTTCTCCATCAGAAGACACTGACAACATGTCACTGTCTTCATCACCTGGAGACCCGAGCACTTGTGAGGCCCCAATCGCTCCCCAATGGGGTGCAGTCAAGTGGCTATACTCGCACTAGGTACTCCCTGTAGACAAAGCAACAGCAGAGGCAGAAGCCCTCATCGTCACAGAGCCCCAAACCACGAAACCCTCCGGTTGCCCAGGACCCAACACATAGGCATCAGATCTCGAGGCCAGAGTAAAGGTTGTTRCAGTCACTGTATTGCTGGCCCGTCCAGCCTGGTTCCCCACTAGACAGGCCAGAGGCATGGTCATAGGACCACCTGCAAAATCCATGCCCAATGTGCTGCAGGCTGGGTCCCCGGAGGTTTTAGAAGCCCCTTTTGCCGGTTACTGGTTGCTGGTCCCTTGTGCGCTCAGTTTAAAAACTTGTCAACTCACCATCCTCCGGGGGTTGATGACTGATGAGTGTTGACGGTACCCTAGTTTTACATCAGAGTTTTCCTTCTCCTAGGAGGGTTGCCTGTCAAGGTTATCAAGCCCCACCTGCCCGGCTGCTTTTGGTTCGCGGTACCCTATTCACCTTTCAGCTTATTCAGGCACACCCCTATACACCAGGAACAGGGATCCCTGATCCACCACCTGGGGGATGCGCCTCTACGCAGTGCAGCCTCAGCGCGAGGACCGYCTATGTAAACAAAGCTCCTCCCTGAAGCTCAGTCTGAAGCCGAGCTCCCGCCCCACAGATCACCCATCCCCTAAAACGTTTGAAGACCTGCTGAAGTGGGGGTGTTGGAAATGATAGGAGGTTCTTAAAGAGACAGAGGCTAATTTCAAGGCATTTAAATAGACTATGATGTGAAATCAAATTTATTTTTGATATTTACAGCTTATTTATAACAACTGAAGGTAACATTGTGTGGTATAGAATTGAACTATCTATAAAATACATACATTTAACATTGGTTCCCATAGCAAGTTAAAAAAATGACCCATGAAACATCAGCTTAATAGCTCAATCAGATGTATTTATAGCATTAATACATGTGATTGTAAGAAAAATGTGATTAAATAATACAAATTAAAGTGCAAGCCTTTCAAAAAAAACAGCATGATGGGCTGTTAACCTGCCCTGCAGGGTGTAGACGTAGCTTTGCAATTCCAAAATAAACTGAAGAATAACTTTGGTTAAGTGACATTTAGGTACATAAAATTAAAAACATAATCCATCCTTTTTGAAATCATGCTTAAATAGGTTCAAGTAAGACTTCAAAGTTAAATAAATACAAGACGAGACCGGATGGACTATTTCTAAAGTTCAGTGATTTATAAATGATGTCACCTATTCATTAGCTAATGTTAGCATAACTCAGAACACTGTTCTCTCCCCCCAGCAGTTCATGTACTGTATTGCAGTTACACATGAACATTTACATGGTTAAATTATGCCAAGCGTTGAAATTCCATGTCGACTAATTTTTATAATTGACTTATTTGATGATGTCAATTAATTGTTGCAGCACCTCGGTTTGTCATATCACCAAGGACACCCTGAGGCACGTTGTAAATCATTAAAATATTTTTTTTTATTCTTTGTCCTCACACTGTTAAACATGTGTTCATATCCTACCTCTGTGCCCAGGCTGGACTTCCGGTGTGACGGAGTGGAGTCTGAAATGAACCACCTCTTCCCTGCCTTCTCCGCAGAGCACGCTGAATGTGGTCTGCAGCATGACCCGCTGCTGTTCAGCTGCGCTGGCTCCAGCCCAAAATACCAGCGTCTTTGCCCCTGCAGGGACTACCGTAAGGGACAGGTGGCGCTGTGCAAGGACTGCCTATGACCAAATGAGGAGCCTTGCAGAAGGCGTCTCGTTTACAGCGCTTTGTAAAGTCCCAAACTCTCCCAAGTGTTTGGCAGTGAACCTTTGAACTGAAAAAGCTGTGATGTTAAGCGGCCGCGCTGACTTTTAGCAATGACCTGGAAAAGCCTGCTAAGAAAGGGAGCATTTTATTGACCTCTCAGGGAATTGCATGATTGTGCTTTGAATTTGAATGGGTTAGAAACCTATGTTTACAAGTTCTCATAATGGCGTTGTTACAAAAGGAAGAAGAAATGTTTAATTTCATGGACGAGTCMGAACAAAACTCAACAGCAATCATTAGTAGAGTTTAGTTTAAAATCGGTTTGAAGCGCTTGAATTTTAAAGGGATATTTATTCAGTTTTGTGAGAATACTGACAGCATCATAGTGAGATATTTGTATAGATGCACCTAAAGCCATTTACACCACTTTGAAATGTACTATTTTACATGTTCTGTGAAAAACAATATTTGTACATAAGTGTTGTATAATAAAAGACGATGAAAAATGAGGCAGATTCAGTTTAAAGAAGTGGTCTGATTCCTGCTTTTTTAATTATGTCATCTAAATGATAACAAAGCTCTATGTAACAACCTAAAAATAACTGGAAGCAACCAGCTTCAGTGTATAAGTGGCTAATGTACTGTATAGTTGGTGTAAAAATAACAGCTTCCTCTATAATGCATTGGTATATAAGTCATGGGTAAGGTGTTGTGGGATAGTGATTTTTTTCCCAAGCAAGATAATTTTGCTGTGTATATATTTAAAACATCGATGTAAACCAGAGATGTCAAACTCATTTTTAATGAGAGCCACATGAGCAAAAAACCAGTTGTCATAGACTTTGACGTGTCATGTTTAACTTGGGCTAAACATAAAACATCATGTTCCTCATTTCATCGTGATGATTGAGTGCATATGAACGTTTTAACACGTCCTCTCATAAACACCAAAAGTTTTATGAGTACAACTGAATAAATGTGAAATAAATAATACAGAAATACTATTAAAAGTAAACATTTTCACTGTTGAGATGTGAGTAGCTTCCATCTTGAATTCTGACCTCTCAGTGGTGTTTCAATTTAAATCTAGGACTAGTAAGTGGGAAATTTCCAATTCCACTGTAAAAAATGAAATGTTGGATTTACTTAACCATGTTATGTGACCTGGTTCCACTTAACTGAGTTGAGTAAATTCAAAGCAATATACCAGTTTTTTAACCAAAGAACATGAGCATGTTGCTTTGAATTTACTTAACTCAGTTAAGTGGAACCAGGTCACATAACATGGTTAAGTAAATCCAACATTTCATTTTTAGAGTGTGGTACAATTTGGCCATGAAAATGAAAATGYTGATGAAAATGCTCATGTTCTTCACCCATCAAATTCATTGTTCCATCACTTGAAGCTATTGAAATTCTATGATTTGGCTGATTATAGTATTTTGTGTATAGGGCTCATAAAAACACATTACCTTCAAACGTCCAATTACATTTTATTAAAAGAGAGAGTTGTTACAATCTGAAGGGGACAGAAATGTTTGTCAAACCTAAAGTTAGAACCAGTTTGAGGGAACGGAGTACTTCAGTCCAGGGAACTAAAATATGGAATAATCTGGAGGATGACATTAAAAATGCCAGATCAAAATGTATATTTAAGAGAATAATAAAGATTAATTTGTTGGAGAAATATTTATGGGTATAATGTACGAATTGTTGCTCAAGAAGGAATTAAACCTTCCTTGTTTTTATTTTATTTTGTGTATGTTTTTGTAAAATTAAGATAACTTTTGATTGAATTTATTTATTTGAGAAAAAGGGGCAGAAATCATAAGATTTTTCTTCTGCTACCTTTCATTTGATTTATGATTTGTATTTTTTATTGTATATTAAATTTATGTTGTTTTGTTTTAAATGACAAAAAATGCTGCTACTTTTGAACCCTGTGCACCTCCACCTAGTATTATCATTTTGTGAGTAAAATAATTAACATTATGAGTGATGTAGTTTATAGTCAATGCTGACTTTAAAGCAGCATATGCTTATTTTAAGACTTGAATGTCTGAAACCCTTGCGTGAAATTTTGTGGTGTACTGCAGGACTTTAGTTTGACACATTTGCTTTAAATGTTCATCCAGTGCATGTTAGCTATGGAAGAAATCTCTTCTGTTATGATTTCTGTCCAAGTAAAAGTAAGAAAAAGAATTGCAGCTCAGCCTTAGGTAATGTAAGGCTTCAGAATCCCAAACTCTGAATGGGGAACAATATTACCAGGTTTTTGGTTTTCTGCTTCTGTCCACAATGTGCTGATGMGTGAAGAAGATACATATAAAGGGAGTTTTTTATGAACAGATTGTACATGATACCTACTTTACTATTTGTATGTAATTTCCTCACTTCTGACTAGCACTGCATTGCATTAGCCTTCCCTGACCTTTAAACAGAATGGGAAAAAAGTGGGGGGCACCATCATTTACATTAGAATTGCATGAAGATTTTTCTTTGCGGCCAGAATGAGAAAGTTGAATGACTGCATTGACCAAAACTGCTTCACTGGGCGTATAAATTATTGAGTTATGAAAAAGGATAGGTGGCCGTGACAAAATGATGAATAGTTTAAAAGCTGTGTAAAAAATGACATCAAGGTTTGAATTATTTAAATGATGTCAGTAGCAATGTGTCACCTGATCCAGGAGTGATATAGTCTGACTCATTTCATGGGCTGGGTCCTCATGAGCACGTATCCCAGCTGGGCCATGTGGGCCACGTCCTCCCTGCTTAAAACTGCTGTGAAATGAGACGGTCTACCCTTCGCCTGACGTCGGCTTTATTGTAAGTTTGCGTGACCCTGTTACCATAGTGATCAGTTTTATATCTATCAGATTTAAAATGTGTTGGGACGTGTATTCACACGTCTTTTTACTGGAAGAATAACTTCACAGTCAAAATGTTACACGTAAATAAATTTTAAAAAATGTTAAAAATTTGGGTTTAGCTCCAGTATCAGCACTAGTTGCATTTTTTTTTATTTAACATCTTATTGCAGCATAAATTTCAACAGCTAAATTTCTAAACTTACTTTTAAAAACAAATACTTGGGTCTGTGGTAAATTTCCAAACTATGCTGGCTCATTAAATAAATAAAAACACCATCTTCGTTTTTCTGTTTATTTTCCTGCCCGTGCATTGAATCCTGGGATATCCTCAGTCAGTGAGGATACACAGATGCAATGAGGTATATTTACTAGAGAGGCTACACCCGTCGAGGCTGGGGCCAAGATATGCTAAGCGCGACACCATCTTGAAACAGTCTACTTAAAGGGATGGGGCTCTTCAAATTATGTAAACGATTAACAGGTTTTTTTTTAGAGTAGCTCCGATTTACATGTACTGTATAACACATTTACACACACAGATAGTTGAAAGAAAAAGTTTATTTTACCATATTATTTTAACTAAAAATAATGTTATTTTTATTAACAATGTAGTCCTGATGGCCCCAAAACAACCATCAGATACTGTTCCCCCTGTGTTAAAGTAGGGAAACACATCCTGATGGCCCAAAAACACCCATCAGATACTGTTCCCCCTGTGGAACACAGGATGAGTTCCCC